TAATAACTCCCTACAGTAGTCTGTCACGTGGCACGTCCTACAAAACAATAACTCCCTACAATAGCTGTCACGTGGCACGTCCTACAAAACAATAACTCGCTACAATAGCTGTCACGTGGCACGTCCTACAAAACAATAACTCGCTACAACAGCTGTCATGTGGCACGTTCTAGAAAACAATCATTAACTAAATTATGATTCTGTATCAACATTTCATTGTAAGACAACGTTCATGAAATAAACTATGGTTCTGTACCAATCATTTCATTCTAAGACAACGTTCATTAACGAAATTATGGTTCTGTACCAAACATTTCATTCTAAGACAACGTTCATTAACGAAATTATGGTTCTGTACCAATCATTTCATTCTATTTACCTTCTCTTAACAGGGTACCCTCATGATACATACTCACCTCTTTGGTAGACTTGATAGTGATGGGGAAATGTGGCTGCCATGGGTTAGAGTCTGCAGGTCAAGAAACATGAATCTATAATATACATCTCAACAGTACTCATTAAGAAAATAATAAAACTTTTCTTTCTTTTGTTTTGGTAAAAGTAAGTTTTAAAACCTTTATCTTACCTCTACAATACTACTAATACTCATCATTAACATAATATTCCATTTTTAATATTTCATTTGACTAAAGTTTACAAAATTTTAAATTAAGCTTTTGCATATTTACATTAAACATTACAAAAGATTGTACAGTTCAATTATCAATTCCAAATTTCTTTACAATACATTTGTAAAAATAATCTATACACAATACTTATTCACATACTTTTAATGTTTTTCATTTTATATTCAACTATTGGTAAGGAGAAGTGTTAGGTTCAAGAGGTGGTTGATTTGTTTTTGAATTTCATACAAAATTACTGGAGGGCTATCTGCGCTAGCTGTTCCTAATTTAAAAGATAGACTACACGGAAGGCAACTATTCAACACCACCCACTGCAAACTCTTGGGCTACTCTTTTACCAATGAATAGTGGGATTGACCATCAGGTTTGAATACCCATCACTGAACATGCTTGCCCTTTCAGTTGTGGGAACATTATAATGTGTTACCAGGTCGAGCACCCTAACCACAAGGCCATACTTGATTGACGAGTAGTTTTCTCACCTTGCAACAAAATAAACATATTCATGGTTCATATTTAAATATAATTAAACCAAAATTACTCCCTAGTCTTTGCATCAGACTTACAAAAATTAGCTTAGAGAGAATATTATAGAACCTGCAGATTGTCACTCTATAATTCCAGGTTGGAGCTCACTTTTCCGTTCAATTCACGTTTTAGAGACTTTAAATATATGATATACACATGTGTGAAGTTGATGACTTAGAGATCATGTAGATAATCTATCAATTTATTCCAATTCATAGTTCTAAGTTTTTCAAATAGATATCTAGTTGTTGAATATTATTGTTCACAAAGACTTACCTCTTTTCTTCTGAAAATCCATGTTAGTGGTAACTGTGTTATTGTTTTCAGAGTCACTGTCACTATTGTCAGTATTCCCATCACTATCCAGTGACAAGCTACAAATAATTCAAGCATTCTTATACATTCTTCTTACATAAAAATTCTATAAATCAAGATTAACGAATTTTCCTAAACCCTTTGTTTTTGTTGCTAAGCACAAAGCTACACAATGGACTATATTTGCCCCACCATGGATGTCAAAATCCAGTTTTTTAGCCTTATAAACCCACAACTTACTGCTGAACCATTGAGGGGATCCAACTCTTAATAACTAGAAAAAAAAATCTTTGCAAAATCTTCTCTATATGTAAGGAAGTATCAATACAAAATTATTATACAGGTAATATAACAACTTATTAGCTCAAATTAGATAACTGACCACATAACATAACCATATTAAAACTACTATTCACCTTATCCTCAAAAAAAGAAAACAACCCCATCGAGTAATGACCAAAGAGTTGTTATATCGTATGCAGGCCTATTTCTTAGATGATCCACAGATGGTTTCCACCAAAACATTTTGAAGTAAATTTTTCTTTATACCAAACAATGATTGAATATCATGTTAGTACAACTAAGTATTCAATGGTTAGATGTCTTATACTGTTGTAAGCTATATTTTCAATGTTCTTAGATGTTAAAATTGGAAAATGTCTACCAATATCTAGATATAGGTACATTAGTTATAAATATTAGTAAAACGTTAGTGAAGTATTTATTGAGAAGTTACTCAACAGTGATTAAGAATTTAGAAAAGTACCTAGTGAGTGAAAGATCAAGTAATTATTCATTAAGAGAAGACTGATTGGGCAAAGTTAAACAGTGAGTTAGGTTTGTTATCAACAAAGTAAATTTCCATTAAAATTTTTTAGTGTATTAGGCCTACATTACTTTCAAGAGTTTATTTTGAAAAGTTTGTTTGTGAACTTAGGCCTACAACTTGCATCAAAGTGAATGTAGCCTGTAGCAAACATTATTGAAGAAATTAATTAAATTTAATTACACAGACTGGACTTGACATAATATTTACCAGATAATCATAAAACATGCTACAACCATATTAATTCTTACATAGCATTAATACATTGTTATCTAGTAATAATAATCATTAATTATTAGATACAAGTTAACATATTTTGTACTCTTGTGCATATGAGATTTCTGAGAGTGAAAAAAGAAGTACCCTTTAAATACGTAAATGGTGATATAAAAATATAATACTGTTACGACAGCGAAAGTCATGTGACGGTGATAACACGTAACGAGTATCTCAAAGGTTCCTGAAGGCTCAAGTGTTTGCCAGACGCCCTCTATTTTGTATATATATAAGACTGGCAAGAAGTGACGGCATATAGAATTGAAGACAGGCAGAGACAAACAATTGAGTCAAGTGCTGTAGTGACCGTAAGTAAAGTGCGTGATTCATTGCTATTATAACATGTGTTTAAGTTAAAGTGACTGTGGAAATTAAGTGTATTGCAAAGTTGAGTTGAGAAAGAATAAACTAGTTTTGTTTAGGAAAGGACTTGTATCGCTGAAGTTCTTCGGAAAGAAATTCTAGAGAAAATTAACAAATGAACACAGAGACGTAACAATACTATAGTTATATCACTAACTTTCACATTGCTTAAATATTACCTAAATTAACAGCTTAGAATGGAATTAAGAGTCTGTTTGCCATTCATGTGTGTTATCACTGATTTTAAGTGTTTTACTTGCATCTTAATTGTGAGAAAGCTCATAAACAATAAGAACTGCTTACACTAAAAACATCTAGTAATGTGACTGGTAACCTTTTTAATCCTTTCCACATTACAGTTTAACTTCAGAGGAATGGAAAAACATCCATGTTGCAAGAAAACAAATATGTGCCCCAGAGTACTTATGGTTTATTCCACATTAATGTGAAACAACAACAACAAAACAAATATGTGCCCCAGAGTACTTATGGTTCATTCCACCTTAATGTGAAACAACAACAACAAAACAAATATGTGCCCCAGAGTACTTATGGTTTATTCCATCTTAATGAAACAACAAAAACTGTCTTGTAAAATGTTTGTAGTCATTAGCTATGAATAAAAGTTCTCTTTAATTCATGGAATGTGTTTTTTTTTTGTTGTTTTTTTTTATATATATATATAGACGAAAGTCCTCTTTAGTTTATGGAATGTATATTTTTTCATTTTGTCTTGCTAGATCAGTTTGTAACACAAATATACATCTTTGATGTTCCATGTATTAATACACATAAAATAAAACTCTTGCAAACAAACCAAAAACTAGTGTTAACAATAATGGAGATTTTTAAGTTACAGCATCAAGTTATTGCTAAAGACCCAAGCATTCTGTTCCAATCAGAACAATCTTGGAAACTGATAAGCTGTCAGTACTAAAATATAAAACCAGACATTTCCAAGGTTTAATAATAATTTCTGACTAAGGACATATTAAAGAACAAGTTATCCAATTGCCATTATGTAAACTCATCACTTAAAAAAACTGAATGGAATTTATAAAAACAAAACATATTTAGGTTTCAATTATATATTTACATTTTATTTTAACAAGAAATATAAAATAAGAAAAAAATAGGTAAGATCACTTTTTTAAAAAGATAGAGACTTGGAAGTTTTGTGCAAGATTACAGGATATTTCAGTCCTTTCTGCAACCCAAGTGTGTTTTTGTTCATTTAGCAAGACTGTCAAATGTTAATAGCAGCTATAAAAAAAATATTTAAGCATCTACATTTCATGTCATTCTTTTTCCCAACAGAACAGCATAAACTAAATGAAGACAATAATCTCAGTAATGCTAAAAAGAATAAATAATGCAAGAAGGTAAAATTATAACAGTATATTATAAAGGCTGAAGTTAATAATGATAAGTTAAAAACAAAATAGTAACAGAAAAATGGCTGCTACCTGAAACTTTTCAATGAACTTAAGAGATTTCAAAAACTTTACTTTTCAAGAAACTGATTTAAATTAAATTTTTTATTTACTCTAATGTGGTGAATCTTTCCTTTTAACTTATAATATTTTCTTTCTTTAATTTTCCATTTCCAGCATCATGTTAAGAAGGATCACTTGAACTCTCTTGAAACAGATAGTCCTAAACGTACAAGTTGTAACTTTTTCTACTGAAACCTGGTTTTAAGTTTAACTTTACAAATAATGTTAAACAGTCACTTACTTGCTAATTTTCTTGCACCTTTATTTCTTTGTCAAAACACAAGTTCAATATTCACAGAATTGAAGTAACAAACTTACTAATAAATTCACTAAATCGATCAACCAACCATTGTAAAAGACTCACTAATCAACCATCAATCTCATCTACTCTCACCTAATTTGCATTTTATATTGTTCAAATAATTTTTTATATGTTCTAGGAACCCACAAGTGAAAGTGAAGAACACGTTATAGTCATTAAAATAGACACTCAACATGGGACATTAGAAATTCACACCAGATACTCATCATTAAAAACTCCCACTACCATAAACAATACAGATGTCTATGTTAAGAAAAAATACAGCCTACAACACTACCCTCTCCCTGGATTGTGAAATCCTATTATACAAAGAAAACAATGGAACATTAAACTTCGAATTATATAACTGACAATAAAGTTATTCTTAATAATTAATAATATTAATGTTCATAAGTACTGAAATTACAATAATTAAATCATCAGTTGTGTAAGACAAAGTTCTGTAAGAAAAATTTTAATTGATAAAATCTTCTTTACTTATTTACTGTTATATGTTAGGTTTTGTCTTTTCGGTAGAATGAACTCGTGGATGGTTGAAGAAATCCAGTGGTGGCTCCATCCTTAGTGATACTCATGACATGGTCTTGGCAAAAACCTTGGGCTCTTCAGCAGGTTAACTTACTTCTGGTGGAGTGTTCTCTAAAGCCAACAACTTGCCCATTTTCTAGCCGACACACTTCCAAAGAAAATTCTGACAGACGGCCTTTAGGTTGAACCACCAGACTTTCTGGATTTGGAACTGTTGTACTTTAGGTTGGATATCTTGTGCTTCCATCCTTGCTACCCTTCGAAATTCAACCTTTAGCAGTGTAATTGTGATGCAGTGCAGGGAATTTACTAGTCATAAAAATATTTGAAGAAAGTTTAACCTTACATCTGTGCTTCCACTTATAGTCTATCCAAAAAATGCATTATTCCTCAATGTTACTTACGCAGGATATTGGGTAGAGAAACTTCCCACTGTGAGAGTAAACTCCACCTTTAGAATTACTTGGAACTTTACGATTACTTGCTGTTTGCATCAATCCATCCTCTTGTTTTATCACTGGAGGAAACTTCCAACCTTTTATTGCCAACTCAGGTTTTTAACCCTATGCATATATCATGACCTTTTTACAGTTACATTCAAAATTTGTTCACTTGTTTGTTGTTAAGCACAAAGTTACACAATTTGCTATCTGTGCTGTCCCCACCATGGGCATTAAAACCTGGTTTTTATCATTATAAGCCTTCAGACTTACTGCCCAGACACTGGGTGGGGGATTCAAAATTTGATTAAACAACTTTATTATCAATGTATGTCAATACGCTTAGCATCAAACAACTTAGTTTGAATTAAAGTTTAATATTATACAAGTTTTAATTTCTTAACTTCAAAAGGAAATATTTACATCCTCAATAGTCACTTCTCTGTATCATGCAACGCTTCACATTTATGTCCTCAATAGTCCCTTCTCTGTATCATGCAACGCTTCACATTTACGCCCTCAATAGTCACTTCTCTGTATCATGCAACGCTTCACATTTACGTCCTCAATAGTCACTTCTCTGTATCATGCAACGCTTCACATTTACGTCCTCAATAGTCACTTCTCTGTATCATGCAATGCTTCACATTTACATCCTCAATAGTCACTTCTCTGTATCATGCAACACTTCTCTTCAAATTGTCCATTTTAGATTTTCATTCTACCCCTGTCTGATATTTTGAGTTTGGCACAAATTACACACTTATACTATACATATTGCTAAGCTTCAATGTATATTTATGCCTCC